CGGCCCGGCCCCGCCGCCTGTCAGCCCGTCAGGCCCGTCAGGCGGACTGGTAATAAGTCATCCGCCCGCAATCGCCCGCCGCCACCGAAAGTGCGATCTCGATGTGGCGAAACGCTTCGCGCCTAACGAAGTGGAAAATAATAGGTGCGGGTAGGCGGGGGTCGGTGCGGAAGGGGAAAGGGCGCGTCGTGCGGATACAAAAGGGGGATGGGATGGGAGGCTGTTGTAACCAAATGTTGACCAGTCTATGTATCCCCTTAGGTACAAGCACAAGACGATTATGCTGGCTTATTAGTCTTATAATGGTCATTAAGAGGGCCGAATGGACGCCATTTTATTTACAAAAAGTCAAAGTTTTTGGCCGTTGTGACCTAACACTTTGCTCACAGAACGCTAGTGTACAGTTTGTAGGGGGATCCCGGGTCACTTCGGGACCGACCCTCGTCAACACGGCGGTCATGTCATGGAGTACCCTCGACCAGATGACCCACATCCTCACGCCGTCGCCGTGTGCTTCCAGAGAGCGCGGTGCCGGCCATGGAGCCCATGACGCAGGACCAGTCGGCGCGCGTGCTGGCCGAGTACGGCATGACGAAGGAGGGCATGGCGAGGGACGTGGCGACCATCCGGGCGTGGCTCGAGAAGCAGCCCCACCTGCCCAAGGACGACGTCGGTGAGTATTCGGCGCCGTTGGCGGCAATGTCACAGTCAGGACTTCTCAGGATGTTTGTACCCGAGGCGGGGCGAATCCCGTAAACGCAAAACAATCGTGACGGGAAGAGTGCTGCTCACTCGTGCACCGTCCTCATCCGGCCGCCTGCCTTCGTGTTGACGCCGCTATCGATGTTGCACATCGTACCCTTCACTAAATAAACTTGTGGCACATGTCAACATAAATTTCCTGATGAGAAAGTGCAACTCGTTCACTTGTTGCAGTCAACCGATAGTGACACTCTGACAGGGTATTTCGTATTTCCCGATTGGTTTGCTACGAGATGAGCCTGTGGCCCGTTTTTCTTCGGCTTTTGAACCTGACAGGTGTTTGTCCCAACGCCAACTCAAACGGCATTATTATTCGTTTGCAGACGACATGATGATTGAGCGGCTCCTCATCCGCTGTAAAAACTCGGTGGTGGTGGCGCAGCGCCGCCTAGATGACATCTACACCGTGCGCTCCGACATGCCCGAATTCTACCGCGCCCGGGACCCGCTGGGGCCCGAGATGCAGAGCCTCATGAGAGTCGTGTGAGTTCTCATAACGAATCGAGTTGTACAGGGTGGGTGTTCTGTTTGTACTGTACCGCATGCAGGGCGGGCTTGCCTACCGACTCTTCTCCGCGTGCGCACGCCTGCATCCGGTAATAACCAGGAAAAAAGTACGGCCTGGAACACCCTGGGAACACCCTCGGGAACACCTACCCAGTGCCTGTCAAGGCTACGACACAACAGTGTTAAGGGTATGACTTGACTACCCTAGGGACCATGGCGCCTTACGGAAGTAGCGAGTGGGCAAACCCGCACACTGTTGTATCGTTGCCCTGATACACGGTATGGTAAATGGGCTGCGGGATTGGTAAATGACAGTCGAAGCCCAGCCGGTGCAGCCAGACGAAAACAGCACGAAAGTCCGATCCCTGCTACCTGTGCATGGTCTTCGGCCTCCGGAGCCATTCAAAATTGCGTCTGTTTGGTTTTGTCGGCTGACGGCATGCTGACAGTGATGGAGCGTGGCAGCCAGGAGCTGTTGCTGTTACTTACCAACGCAGCTGGACCGGGAAGAAAGCGCTTCAGCAGTGAAACGAACGTTCCGCAACGCTGTCACGAGCAGCCCTCGCGGTACTTGCACCACCCTCCGCCTCGCCCTCTGGAGGTCCCGGCGGCCCGGCGATGGTGCTTCCCTGCTCAGCTGCTCACTTGTTGCTCTCCAGGGGTCTGTGCGTCATGCCTCGGCTCACCCCGGACCTCACCCGCGTCTCGCTCATCCGGCTGCTTGACCAGGACGTGGACAAGTTCAGCGTGGAGGGCTTCATCAAGCTGACCTTCATGGGGCAGGACGTGATCCTCCGGGAGCCCGCCTGCCTCGGGGACGTGGTCCTGTTCGACGCCCGCGGCTACACGCTCGCCCACGCCGTCGGCGCCAACCCCGTCCTCATCCGCAAGGCCGTGTCGCACGTCAAGGTGGGGTGCAGTATGTAGGATGAACATCCCTTTAAATGAATAATTCATCCTTTTTCACATCTGAGACATTCACCATAGAACTAAAAATACAGCCAGTTTAATGTGTCAGCAAGCTTACGGTGAGTTTCTCTTTCTCACAGAGGACATACCCAGCGCGAGTTACAGGGATTCATGTTTTGTTTCCCCCATCTTTCGCTGACAGAATACTCAACATTATAAAATCATTCCTCCCAGAAAAATTGGCCAACAGAGTAAGACTCACATCCAATTAGTAAGTGACTTCACAGTTGTTTTGAATATTGGTTATCTAGGGTCTAATTCGTTCCCAGATCCACACCCACAACTCTCTTGAAAGCCTACTGGACCACATACCTCAAGATATCCTTCCAAAAGACTACGGTGGTCAAGAAGCCTCATCTGATGAACTTTGTGGTGAGCCAGGACTGTTGAAGGTTAGAGGCATTTGTCAAAGTAACCTTATTTGTTGAATTAATTACAAAATTTGTTGCAGAGACATGGAATCAAAAATTGATAAGCTACAGAGAATATTTCCTCAACACTGAAAAGTTACAATCAAATGAAACTTTGCGACTAGAGAAACGCAAACAGAATACCTTCAGTAACATTGAAGGTTCTTTCAGAAAATTAGATATTGACTAGGGTGAATAGTCTTAAGATCAACATTACGTATATACACCAAATATGAAGAAAGCCAGAGGCATGGAGGAGTTCAACTCATTACTCTCTAGGATGAAGTGCACCCTGCACCCGTATTATTTAGTTTAAGAATTACAAACAAAGCTAAAATTTGTGCGTTGTCCACCTTCATTTCCTATTCATTTAAGAAAATAAATTGACAAATTAAGAAATTAGAATGATTGAACCTGGTTAATAACATGACCCACCACAACTTAAAAATCAAGAAAAACCAAAAACAACTGTAGTATAGGGAAAGGTTAAACAATGCGGAACATGCATAGGTGTATGAACCTTTATATATATTATAATTATCACCGATCATCAATACAGGACAATTTACACCAAACTGGACATGGGATTCAAAAATTAATAAATGAAATGAACATAGGATAGATACAAAACAAAATGATTGCTGCTTTGCCTCTAAAAAACTAGACATGCTAATTAAATTTCTTTTAAGGCAACAGAGTAAATTAATGACTATAATAAATTGGAAACTGATATGAAAAGAACAAAAATGCAATAAGAGAGAAATTAGTTAACAACTGTTCCCATGCCAGAGAATTCCTTGAGTTGTTTGAGCAGGCTTGCACAGTATGCCTTGTGATCAATCTTTTTCACCATATATACAGTAGTCTTCAACCTTTGTTCATCCTAAATTTTAAAAATGAAATAAAACAAAAATTACTTGAGTGAATAATACTAAAAAGTAGGATTTCATGTCTCTATGTGGCAAAGAAAGTATACTTACATTGTAGGTTTGTAATTGGGAACGCATTCTAAACGTGAATGATTTGAAGGTGGCTTGCTGGAAAACTTGTTGATATGCATCTGGGTTATTTTTCCTCAATTCATCCATTTCTTCAGAACTTTTACCAAGAACTAACTCTGCATTTTCTTGGAACATGGTGACCCATGAGTGATCTGTCCAATCACCTACACTTACCTAAAGCAAAAATAAAAAAATAAGTCACTCAAAACTGAGTCTAATTAATATGCATACATATTGTAGAGAGGATAATTTGCCATACCGATAACAAAAGACGAGGCTTGTAGTGGGTATATTCTTGATTACATTTTTCACAACGCCAATTGCCATTTTGTTGGTCAAGGACCTGACAACAAGTAAGGTGAGAAAATTAGATACAAAATCAATTAAAATTGAAATTCAAGTTAGTAATATATACCTTCTTGTTGCAATTTTCTCCAGGGCATGCGTTATACATTGCATTTTCAGTTTTGATCATAATGATAGATGCCTTGCAACTAAAGTAATCAGGTTTTCCATTACTACCAAGATTTTGTTCACGCGCTTCCTTCAATGTAAGGAGTATGCCTGTAAATTTTAAGTTAGTTATCAGGATTGAAATTAAAATAAATAACATTCATTAAAAACAAAACATGACTAGATTACCATCATTGCCACCACTACCACCCCCTGTTCTATTGGAGATTGATTTGAAATTGGCAGATGAGCCCTCATCATCAAACCAGCCCTTCAATTGGTGTGCCTCTGGCATGTCCGGATTGATTTGAAAGAGTGCAGATCCAGGGACTGATACAGTCTTTGCACCACCAAATTCATTCACCTTTCCACCTTTCACAGCAATGACAGGTTGGTTCATCCCATCGAAGTTTTCAGCTTGCTCTCCCCATAGAGTCAGGTTGACCTGTTAATAGAAGACAGGAACAGTAAGAAACAACTCCCAAGGTTAACACAATGAATAATATCTTAAATAAAGTTGGTGTAGTAGGGATTAGTACTAATTCAAAAATATGAAATCTTACAGCTGTATTAGACTTGTCCACAAGGGTCACATCCCGTTTCTTCATTTCTCTGTTGGACTGTTTAGCTACAAAAGTTATAAGATCTCCAACTGATTTCACCACCCCAATAACATCTGGAAGCAGAAAATGAACCAATATCAAATTGATCAAGTGTGAGGAGGAGTCAATATAAATGCTGTAAGTCCATAAATTGATGATAAATTAATGATAACATTTCAACATACCCACTGGAAGATTTGCTTCCATGGTTTCAATCTCACTTAAGGGTGAAAAATTAAATTTGATTTGAGGGACAGCTGCGTCATCTTCAGTTATTAGCAAGACTTGAGTTTCATTGTTGAAATTCATTTCATAGTCATTGTTAAGGGTTGTAAATCTCTTGTTGGCTGTCTTTAAGGAAGCTTTTGTAACCTTGTAAACCTTGCCCACCTGAAATATTCAAAGGTCTTTTAGAAAAGGTCTGTAAAATTAAGTAAAATATAAAATGCTACAGAAAAATAACTTACTTCAATCATATCGAAGAATTTCTCACACTGCTCCCTAAATGCTGTAGCACGGATTTCACCCGATTCATCAGTTAAGTCAAATGAAAACAGTGTTCCATCCCCCTTGGAGTTTGACCAAGACCTTTTATTTGTTTTTCCTGTAACTCTGGCTTTGATAACCCACTTGTTTGAGTACGGAGTTAAACTGGCAATAGGATTTGTGGGAGTGTCAGCAGTCAACTCCATGCCACCCATCGCTTTGTTTGGAGACCTGATGTTTTGCCCATAGCCACCACCAAATCCTTTGACAAAAATGAAAAATAATATGAATACCGTGGGTAAAACCATACAAATGTTAAAAATATGTCATAAGAACTTACCTCCTTGGTTACCTCCATTAAAAGCTGGTTTTTGTGGTGATGGTCTTGGAGCAGCTGCAGGACCAGAGGCATTGCTGCGGCCATTGGTAGTTGGACCATTACTAGCTCTGGCTGCTGGAGCTGGTGCAGGAGCTGGAGTGGAAGCAGGAGCGGGAGCGGGAGCGGGAGCGGGAGCAGCAGACCCTTCAGCAGTCCATGATACTGGATTGCCAATACGGTTTCCTACTTCACTGCCCGGTGCAATAACTTCCACATCCAGGATGATCATGACTCGTCTGAATCAATAGTCACATTAAAAACAATTCAGGGGTACACTCTTTAAGTTACACAGAAGTTGGCATAGGAAAGAGAATACTTACTTTTCTCCTTTTCCTGAGTTTGGTACAACACTTGTGATGTACCTCTTAATACGAACAATGGTATTATCAGCCAAATCACCATTACGAATCATTTCATTAAGTTGAGTGGCAAGCATAGCAAAACTGTTGACATGTACACCATCGGACACCAAAAGGCGATAACGCTCATTGTCACCAGCACCCGATATTTTCTTGCTCCCCTGATAAAACAAAAGTCATCATTTAATTTTTCCTGGTATTAAATTGAAAACTATAAAGGGGTAAATGAATTAAAACTTACCAGAATCTGCATAATTGGAGTGTCAACCTGCCCCCCATTCATGATGGTCTACAAGAGAGAACAACAATAACTTTGCATGAGAAGAAATATCTTACATGTTAAGAATTGTGATTGACATCATGTTAGAGTAATAAAAAAAAATGTGCTGTGCATTAAGCTTCTCTGACATGTGAGACATGGTAGGCTTCTAGTGCAATGAGTGGTAGCCTACACAACCTCCTCCAGTACCACAGCATTCAACAGCGCAAGTACGCAGCAATCCAGAGCGCACGTAGAAGCAAATTTCAATTACGTTAAGCACTTAATTAAGTTAAATGAGCGAATGAATCATAATAATAAATGAAGACAATAGTGTTGTGCAATTTACGAACAGCCGAAGTAATCTTGGATAATTCTAGGGAAATCTTCTACAAGTACTTACATTCAATGCTCCCTCAGAAAGCTCCATCTCCATTTTGACAATTTTTGCCTAAGCAATCCGTAAACGAGGGCTGTTAAATTTGCAACACAGACTTGCTCAAGTTCCAGACAACGACAAAGAAACATAAATGGTGCAGGAACACGAATGCAAGAACGACGGTTCTAGTGGCGGGAACCAAACTTCGGCGAACCGAAGCATGCCGAAGAGGCCGAAGCCGATGGCAACAATGTACTGCGCCTTCTAAGAATGAGTCTGCTGTGCATGAATGTGAATGTGCACTGTTCTCCTGAAAACTCAAGATTGGGGTTCGTTTCGGCTGATAACCCGTACTTTTTTGATTTCTCCCCGAATTTCTCTGTAATTTTCAGGATAATGGCAGATGTTAAGGAAGTGGAAAGGGAGGTAGGTTCAACCTTGAGCTCAAATTTGTCAAAGGATTTTACAACTGAAGTATTTAAGAGCATTCACTCAAGACCATCAAGCAAATACGACTCACCCGTCAGGATCATATCATAACCTAACATTATCCATATGCTTCCTACCGGATTTGTTGCAAGGTCGCGTAATTAAATTTAATCTCCTGCTGTTCTTTGATTAATGAATACCAAAAACAGATTCCCCTTTCCTTTAAAAGATATTTCTATCAGAGTTGCCGCAAGCTACACTTCAGTGTAAGCTTACGTGGGTATGGGATGACGTCCGATTTCGGAAGTCCTTCTGTGGTAATTTTAAGTAGAAATTTCTGTGTATGAATGGTATCGTCTGCTATTGAGAACTGACTGAAGGATTCAAATTAGTCTCCGTTCCTCTACTTGTAAATTTATTCAAGCTCTAGCGTTTAAATTTGTTTTGGAATGAAGATGTGAATGAAATATTGAAAATGTACATGTATTTGACATTTTCAGATCAAGATTTTGGTTACAATGTCAATTGACTGTACATATGTATGGTTTGACATTGTGTTACATAATCCATAAACTATTAACTTTATCATCTTTTTCAGGATGCTGGTGATTATGTTGCTCCAGACAACCTTGCCAATGATATGCTGATCAAACATCCACTTCACAGCAATTGGACACTTTGGTACTTTGAAAAGAACAACAATAAGACTTGGGAAGAAAATCAACGAGAAATTACCAGCTTCAATACTGTAGAGGACTTTTGGAGGTATAAAAGTGCTTCCGCAACTCATGCGATTGCATTCCTGTTATTGGTAACAATAATAATAACAATTTGTCCATTGTTTCTTTTAGTCTTTACAACCATATTAGATTGCCTAGCCAGCTGCGTGTGGGATGTGATTATTCTCTTTTTAAGAAAGGGATTATGCCCATGTGGGAGGACAGTGCCAACAGAGCTGGAGGACGCTGGTTAATTAATTTAGACAGGAAGCAACGGGAGACTGATCTTGACCGCTTTTGGTTAGAAATTGTAAGTCATCTAATGTAGTGGTATGGATTATATCACCTCTTTGATTTTGCTGTCGTAACTAATGCATTATTATTTTCATAGCTCTTATGTATGGTTGGAGAAGCTTTTGATGAACACAGTGATGATATTTGTGGTGCTGTTGTAAATGTCAGAGCAAAGATAGACAAGATTGCTGTTTGGACAGCTAATGGCCAGGCTGCCAATTCAGTAGTGGAAATTGGGTGAGTATGTTGCTTATGTACTGATAGATCATTTCTCAATATGTCATGTCACATACTAACACTCTTCAATGAAAATTTCAAATTATTTGCAGAAAACGACTCAAAGAACGCTTGAACTTGGACAATAAATGTTCGCTTGGTTATCAGATGCACAAAGACACAATGGTCAAGACTGGCTCAGTTACAAGAAATCAGTACACTGTTTAAATGTTGATCGATCACTTGACAGATTATTCATATCTGTTGCATCCTTTGTTGCCTAGGTGTAAATGGAAAGATATCTCTAAAAATTTGCTTGATTTGATTACAAAATTTGTCTTACACAGAGTTTGACAGAATTACACCAGGCACCTTTCTCATTTTTTACTAAATTGATGCTGTTATTTTACTGTTCCTTGTTAATATTTGTTAAATAATAGAATTTGTTTAACTTGCTAGTACAAGTATCATATCCTTTTTCAATTATTTGAGGTTTACTTTTAGTGAATGTATCTTAAAGTTACGTTAGCATACATTACTATATCCATTCAAGACTGGCATTCTC